GGACAGTCTGGAGTGCTCCAATAACACACAACATCACTCAAGCGCTCTAGGACAAGCAGAGGAAAAAGAAAGAGAGAAGGGCAGAACAAGTAGGGAATAAGCAAGAGAACGGGACGAGAAGAAAAGAGAGAGACACTCACGCCTCTGACTGCCCCTTTTTTCCTCCTCCGCTGCTGCTCTCTCTCTCACTCTTCCTTCTCACTCCTTCCCTTAGTCTCGCATCAGCGCACACACCCTCGCTCATTCTCACAGAACTTTTTTTCACCGTCTCGCTCTTTTAATGATTTTGAGAGAGAGGGGAGACGCATTTGGAGGGTGTCTGAAATGCAGGAGCTCCACAGATGCCTGAGACCTGCGGAGAGATAGGAGACTCACCCTGCTTGGAAAAGATTGAGAAAACCAAAAAAGAGAAGGACTGCAACAAACGTATACGCCTCAATATTCCCTCATAACCACTACAGGACGCTGGAGTTTGTGGCGTTATCATGGTGACACTAAGAATTACATTGACTTTAAGGTTCACCTTACTACTCCTGTACTGGTCATGCTGTACTGGTTGGCCGGGCCAGGCTCAGCAGTCGTCCCTGCGGGGTTTGCGTCAGGCGGCCCAAACCCGGCAAAACCTCTCTGAGAGCATGGAGAGCAAAGTGGAACGTCTCGGCCAGGTCTTCCGAAGGAACGTGCGTCTTCTTCGGGAACGGGGAGGCTGTCTGGATCTGGTCTTCCTCGTGGACGAGTCGTCCAGTGTGGGAGCTTCCAACTTTGGGAGCGAGCTGCGATTCGTGCGGAAGCTGCTGTCAGATTTTCCGGTGGCACCGGAGGCAACACGTGTAGCGCTGGTGACATTTAGTTCCAAGAGTCATGTGGTTACAAGAGTGGACTATGTGTCTGCACCCAAAGCCCACCAACACAAGTGCTCGCTCTTCAGCAAAGAGATCCCCTCCATCACCTACAGAGGAGGTGGCACCTACACCAGGGGGGCCTTCCAGCGTGCAGCGGTAAGAGCAGCTGTGTAATCACAATGTCTGAGTCTGTGAGAAAGAATTTAAGCACTAAATGAAATGTAATAGATAAAAGAGTAAATGACAGACAATGCCATTAAGAGTCTAGCCACCTAATCTAGATTGAGTTGATTGAGATGAACTTTGATTTATGCTGAATGTATTCAATGTTCCTCCACTGCTCTTTAATGTTCTTCAACTAATAAACAAATAGATAGCTATTGAGTCTAAATCACTGAAGCACATTTAGCAGAAACAGGACTGCAAAGTCAAAATGATGGATGAACAACACATAAAAGTCTCCATTCCTGGCAAGGTACCTCCAGATGTCATCTCTAAGTTAACACCACATGGTTTCCTGTGCACTCTGATCTGGGACAGATAACCACAGAAACCATCTATGTAGGACTTTCTAGAGAAGTGGCCATACTTTAAAAAAAGTGCATGGTAGGGCCATGCAGGTTGATTTGTCCCCAGTCAACTTGCACTAAAGACTTTGGAAAATAGGGAAATACAGAGTTGTTAGTTTCAAGTTGGAACAACTTGAGAACTTCAAGATCCAGACAAAGGGAAAAGACAGCAGCAGTGGTGACTCATTTCAAATAAATTCATTTTTCTTTTAACTAACCCAGCCTCACTTAACAGCAATGCTATAAATTGCAGCAAAATGATTTATTGCCTCATCTTGCAGCCTACTGCAGCTTCTACTCCCTTTTTCCGTTACAAATGATTATGACGTCCGTGTTTTCAGACATTTTTCTTGTCCTGAATGACATTTGTGGTTTGAAAAATGGTTTCGCTAACCCAGATCTGCAAATGTATTAAGTTGTTATGTTAGCACAGCAGGAAAGACCTTTTGTTCATATGCAATTAATTGGCATTGCAGTCAAACTGTAATATTTCATGGTTTTTGGCTCCTTCCGTTGAGTCTAAATGGCGTGGAGGTCTGGAAGCTTTTACCAGACACATTTTCAATCTTTCAGAGCTGCAGAGGTCGAAGGCCTTATCCACAGTTCTACTGCCCAGCCGAAGTGCATAGAGAGGCCAAACCTCTCTGATCAGATTTGCCTTTTAGCAAGAACATCCTCAATTGCCAAGTCTCTAATTCATTTACTCCACTGCATTTGGAGAATGAAATGTTGGGTTGGCTCTAAATGCATTTTATTTTGCTCTGCCTGATGATGGATAAAAGCTGCATTGTGTAGTCTCACAAACCCAACATGCTAATAAACAGCAAGGTGGTAAACCATTTAAAACTGACTTGAGAATCTGCCATTTAACTACAATGATTATCTTAACTATAAAGAAAAGTCCGTCTAGACACTTTGAATAGACAGACATATAGATAGATAGATAGATATATAGACAGACAGACAGACAGATAGACAGACAGACAGACAGAAAGATAGACATCTACGGATCTAAGTTCTTATGTAATCTCTCTTCGGTTCACCCAGCGCTCCTGCTGATTCTTGCTCTAACCACAGTGTTTGTCTACACTTAGTGGGCATACTGGGTTGCCAGATCCCCAACCCCTTTTCCATTTGCCAAACCAGAGCAGAACTAGCTCTCCATAAACTTCTTTCTCTCTCATTGCTGTCCTTCTGAAAGTTAGTGAATGCTTTTAGTGCTTTCCAAATTCTTTGCCTGCTTTTCTGATCAGCCTCCATAGGGAGTCATTACATCGAAGTCCTTGACCAAATGGATTTGAAATTTCCTATTTCCGATGAATGTTCATCTCAAGTAGGATTCTTCCTTTCCCCCAGCAGGGATTCTATTAAGAAGGGGAAGTCTATGGGAAATCTATATAAGCACATTTGAAAACACACCAACCCACCCACCCACACATACATATATATCAAGAGTCATTCTTCCTCAAAAATGACTGTTCATTTATCTCATGCAAGTAGCGTGGAGGTGAAAAGGGCAGTTATATTTTTTGCGCTATTGTTAGCATACATCCCTCCCATTTCATCCTATACGTGACCCTTCCTCCTACAATCCCCCATCAGAAATTCCAGAGAATGTTTCTTTAAAGTGCCATTGACCCTTCTGACCTGGTTTGCGAAGCACAAGGCAGCCGGGGCGTTACTGTCATCGAGTCTAGACAGATCAACGTGTCCAAATATCTCATATTGTGTCTGCAAAAACATCTGTCAGCAAGCCTCAGAATGAGCTGTGCAAAATTAAAGCAAAGGCACATAAAAGCAAAGAAACAGAATGAAAGAACTGGGACAGCTGTCAAATCACACAAACGTGATGTTTGGTGTTGATACAAATGACCGGAAATTCACTATGAATGCTTACAGGTACAATGTTTTATCTATCTATATTAATGCAAAGTGAGTGTCTACTTGTAGAAGATCACTATTTTTCCACAAATAGCTGTAAAAAGCCATGAGTGAATAAGAAACCAAGAAAATCGTAACAATGAAATAGAATGTGGCTGTACAGAATGCTTCTTTTTGGCAAGCATGCACTGATGAAACTCTGGCACTTCCCGAGGCTGTATTTGTGTTATTAATTAAGGCTGATCAGGGAGATCCTTATGAGAGACAGCCTGTGCTCTACGAACCCTGATAAAACAGTCAGGAATGCCTTTAAACCAGCCTGAGAGCCACAGATACGTCTGCAGACAGCCAGATAAGGGCCCTTCGGTCTTTAACTGTCTGAAGAGGCAACATGTTTTACAATGAATCAGTCTTAGTCCTATTTAGGGGCTTAATTGCATCTCGGAGTTGTGTTGGAGGAACAGATTGCTTGGTTGCTTGTTACTGTGCGCTTTGCCTTAAGTCACAAATTGTATGCATTTACCTTCACCAGAAATTGGTTTATAGCACCTATAAATCAGACACGTGAGAGACTGAAATACGTAAGTAGCAGAAATATGCCTAAAAAAGGGACGGATCAACAACGAGAGACAGCATGAGACAAGAATAAAAGAGTCTTATTGTCTGGGACACACATGTGATGGTAAAATTAATGCAACATGATGGCATGAGAAAACCTTCATCTGGTCTTCATCCATCAGTTGTCCAGCACTCATTCTGCAGGGAAGCAGGAACACTTAGATAGGTAAAATCACATCTCATGTCCACATGTCACATTTCTTTGTCCACAGTAGACAAAATTACGCTCTGCTATCAAACAGTGGTTGTCAACCAGGGGGGCTCAGAAAATGTTAAGTGGGCCTCAAGATGACTTAAAATGAGACAAAACAAGCATTAAAATAAGCTAAAACCAGTAACAATTCAGATATGTCTTAAATTAAATTCATACATGCCCAGAATTCCTGGTAGTCAAATTTTAGAAAAGTGATTTCTAGATCTGGAAAAGTCATGTAAATTAATACAATCCTATAATGGCATGGGCATTTTTATGATGAATGTACATTTTGTTCTTGCCAAGCTCCAAAATATTTGATCAGACAGAATTTGTGTGTAAAAAATATTTTAAACATTCTTATCCTTAATATTTATCTACAAATCACAAACAACTGGAAAAGCAACGTGGCCTTTGAATGTTGTTGTCAAGTCAAGTCCAGTGGTGGAAAGAGTCCTGAAAATTTGTACTTAAGTACAAGTACTGTTACATTGCTGAAATAATACTCAATTACAAGTAAAAGTACTGGTGTCAAACCAGTACTTAAGTAAAGGTACAAAGTACTCCTCTCAAAAACTACTCGGAGTACTAGTTACTAGTTACTATTTAGCCGCCGATATTTAATGAATTACCAAAAAATATTCACATCAAAGATCTATGTATCTGCCAGACGCCCCCCAAAAAACAACAAACTGTGCATATACACACACTCACAATGTCAAGTAACATTGAAAAAATTATAACCCTAACCTTCATCTCCATACCGAAATCCCAGAAGGCCTGACAGTGATTCAGCTAAAATATTAGTGTCTGAGACACTGTGAGCACGGAGACTGTAGTGTGCGATTTTTTAAATGCTTAGCTTAAATATGTAATATTAATTAAATAGTGCTCATAAATGGCTGTTGAGATAGTATTCTCAAGTGAAAAAAGTAGAGGCTTGGACCCGGAAACAGCAGTCCTTACAATGTGCATTAAAAAAGTAAGTAGGGTCATTTTTGATTTCATGACGACTAGCTGGCAAAACTACCACATACTGTATACTGGCATACAGATATTTTAATTTTTAATTTTTTTTTCAAGCTTTGAAATTGGTTTAATCCAAGTCTTCTAAAAAGACACATGCGCTTTATATGATGCACAGATTTTAATATAGGCTTTGATTTACATACATATAAATATTGATCAATTACCATTACAAAAATCTCAAACTTAAACATTTGGTCATTCTGTGTATTTGTGTCTTTAAAATAGGGTAACTTTGTTGCAAAAGCTTACAGCACAAGGAAGCTTGATTTCAAACTGAATTGAATTTACAAAAAAAGACAAGTGCACAGTCAATAATAAAATTATAAAACAAATGACCTCAATTCAGTTCGAGGTGTTCAAAACATGACAACACTGAATTTTTATAAGCAGTGATTTAAGAGCCATATACAGTATGTTAGGCCTATTTATTTAGATAAATAGAACATCAGATGGCTTTGACCTGTGACTGTACAATGTAGGCGCCCAAATGTGCACGCAATGAAAGAAGGCGTGGTTTCAGTAACCGCAGTTAGTGTTGAAGCAGCATGTCAGGGAGACGCTGTGTGTTTCTAGGCGAAAGCAAAAGCACTTTATTTGGCCTTCCGAAAGTAGATGCGTACCACATACCAAACACATACCAGCTTCATCACTGTGTCTGTCACGCAACAGTGAGTTTGACACGCATCCGCCTCCTGTCTGGATGTCCGCTCTGTTCCCCTTTCGGGCTTGAACCGATGGTAAAACTAATGATATTATTTACTGTCTTTACATTTATTTTGAAAGCTGACGCTCGCGATTATGGTAAGGGGCGTTACATTTCCGATGAGTGCTTGCGGTGTTCGGCCAATCACAATGCACTGGGTCAG